TGTTCAGTATAATTTCACTTTTTTTAAGACTTAAGGTTCCAGGAAATACATAGTCTAGCAAAACATCTCTGTTTTTGTAAGCCATTGATAAAAATTAGTTTGGCACTTGAAACAAAAATATAGTTGGCTGAATAGTTAAAATTGTAAAAGAGAGTAAAACATTATTTTTAATTATTTTTTAATTCCTTGGCAGCCTCTTGGGTCTTTGCCCCCTCTGACTTTTGCAGACCCCCGGGGGTTTGCCCGGTGCTCCTGGGCTGGGGGTCGGGGGAGTTCCTGTGCTGGCGGACGACGCAGGTTGGTGACAGGAGCCTCTCAGAAGAGAGGGATCAGCCGTGCCTCCTCTCCGTTAGAAGGCACCAGAGATCCACCGTGGCTCTCCCGTTTCTCCAGCCGGGAAAGCTGGGGGGGGCTGTCGCGCATGACGAGTGCCTTGCAGAGCCCACTTCACTTCCCCGAACTTCTTTTTCTAGTCCCGCTGAAAAAATTCCCCTACTTGAGGCTTCCCTCTGCTTGAGAGCCTCCTTTTCCTGAGCTGACACAGTAGGAAAGCTCCATTCTTAAGAAAACTGAGGGAAATGTTTACTGGGTTTTTTTTTCTTAGTGTGCTCTCTGTTTACTGCAGACCAAAGCCCCAGCTGAAGGACATGAGGTTCTCTGTTTCCCATGGAAAATGAATCCCTCACCAGCTCTCAACACACCGAGCAGAGCAGTGTTTTCCCATTGCCCAGTGGGGCTGGACCAGGTGCCTTTGCAGTCCAGGGGCAGAGTTGGCTGTTCTGCAGGAGCTGTTGCAGAAGAGCTGCCTTCTGTCCTCTCATTTGCTGCTTCTTTGTCCTACTCAATAATTAGGCTTTAATATTTCATTTCTGCCAACATACAGAGATCCTGAAACTATCCAGATGACCCACTCTGCAGACAACAACCCTGGACTAATACTTTTGTAATATTTCTGCTTCTTATTCCACTAATTCTCCTGGATTATAGCTTTTGTTGGAAATAAAATCAAAAGAATAATGTTTAGAAAAAATTCTAATGATTTACAGTAAAAAATTTCAAATTTCATTTAAACCACTACTGTGAAAGATCAAATAGAAAGGATCTTCAGTCCAGCAAATTTTAGTCCATTTAGGAAAAGCTGCTTTGGGCATGCAGAAGACCACAGGTGGATCCTCTGAAAGGTAGGGAAAGGAATCTTGGGCCTCCCATGATTCTGGAACTATAGATAAATCACTAACCATTTCTCTGCAGCATGAATCTGTTATCCTATCCACCACAGATGGGTAAACCACTTTGTTACTTGATTTCTGTGTGGTAACTGCTGGATCCCCATCCTTGCTGTGGGGCTGTGCAGGTCGTTTCCCAGGACAGGAGCTGGGGTCCCAACACACCTGCCCCCAGAGCCCTGGTACGTGTCCTCACCTCGGGGCTGGGTGCTGAGGATGGGTGTCCCCTGGCCCAGCTCTGCAGGAATCCAGCTTCTTTCTCCCTCTGCAGTCCATGGGTTTATTTTTCAGATAATTTGATTTGGTTTAGATAGTTTTAGGGGAGTCCAAGCCGTGTTTCAGCTCGTTGGTT